CCTACATAAAAGCAAACAAATGCAGGGCAGCGCAAAGCAAAACAAAGCTAGACAAAGCAAAGCAATGCAAAGCAATGCACAGCAACGACATGCAACGCAAAGCAAAGCACAGCAAAGCAATGCACAACAAATCCATGCGGCACGGGCACGGGCGGAAGCCAAGCAATCCGAAGCAATGCGAAGCAGCGCAAAGCAAAGCAAAGCAAAGCAGCGCAAAGAACTGCAATGCAACGCAGAGCACTGCCAAGAAATGCAAAGGAATGAATAGCAGGCCGGAGTCATGCAAAGCAACGCAAGGCAACACAACACAATGGAAAACAACGCAAGGCAAAGTAACGCAAGACAGTGCAAAGCATGCAAAGAAATGCGAAACCATGGAACGCAGAGCAAAGCAATGCAGAGCAATGCAAACAATGCAAAGCAATGCAAAGCAAAGCAAAGCAAGGCAATGCAAAGCAAAGCATAGCAAAGCAACACAACAAATTCAAAAAAATGCAAGACAACGCCAAGTAACGCAATGCAAAGCTGTGCACGCCATGGCAATGCAATGCAAAGCAGAGCAGCGCAGAGCAATGTCCAGCAATTCATTGGAACGCAGCACAAAGCAATGCAACGAAAAACACTGCAAAAGAAAACGACACAAAGCAACGCAAAGAAATGCAAAGCAAAACAAGGCCAAGCAAAGCAAAGCAAAGCAACGCGAAGCAACGCCAAGCAACGCAATGCAATGCCGTGCACTGCACAGCGAAGCAACACAAAGAAAAGCAATCCTACGCAATTCAAGGCAAGGCAAAGCAATGCAAAACTATGTAAGGAAATGCGAAGCAAAGGATTTCAAAGCAAAGCAATGCGTCACGGGCACGGGCGGCACGGGCGGCACGGGGCGGCACGGGGCGGCACGGGGGCGGCACAGGGCGGCACGAGGGCGGCACGGGGCGGCACGGGGGCGGCACGGGGAGACACGGGGGCGACATGGAGCGGCTCGGGGGCGAAAATCCGCAGGCATAGCCAGATGGTTATAGACCAAGTAAGAAGCCCTAGGTTTCCGCTGCTTGGGGAAGATTCAGCACCGATGTTCCCAGGAATACGGCGATCGGCGCCCAGGAGCATCAGGGCGAGCCTGAAGCGGGCGGCCGACATGCACAACGTAAGCGAGAAGACGCGGCGAAGAGGAGCAGCTGAGGGCTCTCCGAGTAGCACATAAACTGCTGGCACAGCACTGCACGCACAGGCAGAATTCCGAATTCTGGGACTGGCGCGACAGCGCGCCGACCAACGACCATGATGACAAACATTTGCAGAAGGCCACTGAACCGTGACACTGCCCGTCAGGAAGGGCGTGGTATAATTCGTGCACAAAAAGCTAAGCTATGCCGTCCGACCGTCAGGCCGGCATGTCACGCGATGCTCGATCGAAAGAATCATCCGTCATCAAGACATGATATGCCATCTTCTGTGGCTGGGAAGCACCGTCTCGCCTCCGCAACTACGTTCGCCCCCGGCATGCTTCCCAGTAGTTGCTTCAAAAGCACCGGGGGTCCAGCAGGGCCCCAGAAGCCTACCTGATCCTGCACGCCCTGATGGCGATCGCGCGCGGCAGACAGACGGCAGACGGCGGCGACGGCCCCCGCCTGGCGCTCAGCAGCCGACAGGCGCTCGGCAGACCGCGGGGCCACATCCAGGCGCGCCGCGACGGGCTCCGCCCGCGCCGCCGCCGCGGCCGGCAGCGAGCCTGCCACCGGCGCTCCAGGGGCCGCCGCGACGCCGGTCAGCACGCCGTCCGCCGCCGCCACCGCCGGCGGGGAGCCAGCAGCAGCAGCAGCAGCAGCAGCGGCAGCGGCAGCCGCGGCGGCGGCAGCAGCGGCGGCCAAGGCGGGCCCAGGCGAGCAGCAACCGCGGCAGCAGCAGCGCCCAGGCGAGCAGCAACCGCGGCGTCCAGCCGGCCGAACGCCGCCGCCGTCCGCGGCCAGGCCGCAAGGGCAGCGGCACCGGCCGCCGGGGCGGCAAGCCCGGCGGCGGGCGCCAGAGCTGCAGCAGCCAGCCAGAGACCGACAGCAGCCGCCGCCTCGGCCGCGCCAGAGCACGGCGACCGGGCGGCCGCACACGAGGCCGCCGCGCCGGCGCCGCAGGAAGTCCCCCTGGCAGCAGCGGCGGCGCCGGCAGCCTTGGAAGCGCCAGCGGCGGCCAGCGGAGCTGGTCCAGTCGGCGGCGCCAGCCCTGGGGGCGGCGCGCCGCGCGCGGCGGCCGCGCGCCGCTGGCGGCGGCGGACCGCAGACCGCGACGCCGCTGGGCTGGCGGCTGCGGCAGCCGCGGAGGCGGCAGCCGCCCGCGCCATAGTCTGGAGGGGCGGGGGCGGGGAGGGCGGAGGAAAGAGGGCCCGGGAGGCCGAGGGCAGGCCCCAGGCCGCGGTCGCGCAAGCCGGCTCGCCCCCCCTCGAGCCTTGAGCCAGAGGGGCTTGAGCCAAGGCTTGTGCCCGAGGGGCTACGGACACACACACACACACTACACCACACCACACCACACCACACCACACTACACTACACTACACTACACTACACTAC